CAAAGATAAAAATTACATCCAACTTCTCAGAAACCATGCAAACAAGAAGAGAGTGAAGAAAAATACTTGAAGTACAAAGAGACTAAAAACACCAGCCTAGAATTCTGTAGCCTGTGAAACAATCCCTCAAAGGTGAAGGAGAAATAAAAAGCTGCTCAGACAAACAAAAATTGAGGGGATCTGTTGCCAGTAGACCTGCTTTGTAAGAAATATTAAAATAAGATCTGTAAGAGAAGGAAAATAATATAGGTCACAAACATGGATCTTCTTAAAGAAAGGAAGAGCATCAAAGAAGGACTAAGAAAAGGTTAAAAAAAAGAAACCTTATTTTTGTTAATTGATATAATAGACACCAGTTTGCTCAGAATAGTAATAACAGCAATGTCAAGGATCTATGCTTACTTGTGTATATGCTCACATAAAAGTGAAATGAATGACAGCAATGATATAAGGGACAGGAGAGAGAAATCAGAATTATTTTGTTATTATAAGGTATTCAACATTATCCATGAACTGACATAATGTTTTTGAAAGTGGACGAGGGTTAATTGTAAATTTAGACTGCAAACTCTGGGCAACCATCTAAAAAACATTTTTTAAAAAAGGAAGTATAATGGATATGCTCAGAAAGGAGAGAAAATGAAATAATACAAAATACTCTGCTAAAACCACAAATGGCAAACAAAAAAAGTGAAAAACAAAAATGGGAACATAAAACAACAAATAGAAAACAATAGCAAATATGGTGGATATTAATCCAACTATATCACTAATCACTTTGAATGTCAATAATGCATACACATCAATTAAAACTGAATGAGAGGTCATCAGAGAGGGAGGAAAACCATGAGACTCTTAACTCTAGGAAACAAACTGAGGGTTGAAGGAGGAGAGATGGGTGCCAGATGGGGTAATTTGGTGATGGGCATTAAGGAGGGCAAGTGATATGATGAGCAATGGGTGTTATACGCAACTGATAAATCATTGAACACTATTATCTGAAATTAATGTATGTACTTTATGTGGGCTAACTGAATTTAAATTAAAAAAAATAAAATAAAACACAGAGATTGTGAGAACATATAAAAATATAAAACCCAACTGTATGTTCTCTACAATAAACCCACTTTAAATTATTTGAAGTTTTATTTAAGTAACCTCTACACTCAACATGGAACTCAAACTCATGACCTTGAGATCAAGAGTCACATTCTCCTCCAGATGAGGCAGCCAAGCACCCCTAAACCCACTTTAAATATAAAGACATAAAAATAAATAAATAAATAAATAAATAAATAAATAAATAAATAAATAAAAAGACATACAGACCAAAAGTAAATGGATGGAGAAAGATAGACCCCACTAACATTTCATCAAAAGAAAGCAGGAGTACTATATTAATTTCAGACAGAACAGACTTCAAGGAAAGTTATCAGAGATTAAGACAGGCATTATTACATTGTAGCATAGGGATCAATTATCCAAGAAGACATAACAATCCTTAGGGTGCATGTGCAAAATCACAGAGCATCAAACTTTGTGAGATAAGAGCTGCTAGAACTGCAAAGAAAAATAGATAAATCCACTCTCCTCTGTGAAGACTTCAACACCCCTCTCTCAGGAATGAACAGTTCCAGCAGGCAGAAAACCAGTCAGGACCTTGTTTAAGTCCACAGCACCTTCCACCAACTGGATATAACTGACAATCATAGACTGCTTTTGCAAAAACAGCAGAACACACATTTTTCTCAGGCTCACATGGAACACTCATCAAGACAGACCACATTCTGGACCATACAACACACCTACACAAACTTAAAAGAATTGAGAACCATACAATTTCTGCTCTCATGCCACAGTGGAATTAAACTAGAAATCAATAACGGAAAGATAAATGGAAAATCCCAAAATGTGGGGGGATTAAACAACACACTTCTGAATAACATATGGATCAAATGATAAATTGGACCTCATCAAAATTGAAAAAAATTGCTTTATAAAAGATACATGCAAACCTCCTAGCTGACAAAGGACTTGTATCTAGACCATATACATACTCTCAGACTTAATGGTCAAAAAAAAAAAAACAATCAGGCCACCTGGGTGGCTCAGTGGTAGAGCATCTGCCTTTGGCTCAGGGCATGATCCCAGGGTCCTGTGATCAAGTTCCACACTGGCCTCCCTGCAGGGAGCCTGCTTCTCCCTCTGCCTATGTCTCTGCTACTCTCTCTCTCTGCCTCTCATGAATAATTAAAATATTTTTTAAAAAATCTAATAAGAGGGCAGCCCCGGTGGCTCAGCAGTTTCGCGCCTGCCTTCAGCCCAGGGCCTGATCCTGAAGACCCAGAATCGAGTTCCCATGTCGGGCTCCCTGAAGGGAGCCTGCTTCTCCCTCTGCCTTTGTCTCTGTCTCTGTCTCTCTCTCTCTCTCTCTCTCTCTGTGTGTTTCTCATAAATAAATAAATAAATAAATAAATACATAAATAAATAAATAAATAAATAAATAAATAAATAATTTAAACCAGAGTGCATCTATACCCCAGAGTAATAGTGCATCCATACACCAGAGTAATAGTAATAAAAAGAATAAAGTGTTGATATACACACAACTTGGACAAATCCCAAGGGAATTATGCTGAGTGAAAAGAGCCAATCCTAAAATACACTGTATGATTCCATTTGTATAAACATTCAACAACATTAAGGGAATGGAGAACACTGTAGTAGTTGCCATGGGTTAGGGAGGGGGAGCCATGCGGAGGAGGGAGAATGTGATGGTGCATCCATAGAAGGACAACAGGAGGGACGCTGTGATGGTGGACTGTTCTATGTCTTCAGTGTGGTGGTGGGTGCATAGGCCTACACATGTGAAGTGCACATAGTTAAATACACCCACGCATAAAACTGAGGAAAGCTGAATAAACTGGATGGCACCAATGTCAATTTCATGGTTCACTATCATTTCCTGCCATAGTTATACAGCATGTTACCACGGTGGAAACTAGATGAAAGGTACATGGTACTCTATACATTTCTTACAACTTCCTGTATATATATAATTATCTCAAAATAAGAATTTTAAATCAAAAAAGGCGGTTGGAATTCTTCATAGTTCTTTTACACATTTCCATAAATTATTTTCAAGTAATGTTTTCCAACTCATTCCTATGAATTCAAATCCTGTCAAAATTCCCAAATTCCAAACTCTGCATCCCAGCTCAGCCCCTGTCATGAGTTCCCCACCCTTATATCCTGGTGGACATCTCCATTTGATGTTTCAAAAGTACTTTGAACTGAGTAATATCAAAAAAGTAACCTGTCTCCCTCTCCAAATACCTCCTTTTCCAGTGCCCCTGATTTTAGTAAATTGTACCACCATTCACCCAACCAGAAACCTGGATGACATCCTTTACTTTTTTCCTACCCTTCATTCCTCACATTCAACTGATCATGACTTCTATCTCATTATTGCCTCTGATATCCTTTTATTTCAGACTCACTGCCACTACCCTAGTCTACTCTGTTGCCCAGCAAGTTGCAACAGTCTCTTAAATTTCTCTTAAGATCTTTTCCACCTATAACCCATATCTCTGCCCAAATCCATTCTCCACACTACAGTCACGTGAATCTTTCTAAATCATATAGTAATAAAACTGATATTTTAAACTCATTAGGGGTGCCTGGTTGCTCAGTCGGTTAAGCGTCTGCCTTTGGCTCAGGGTCCTGGGATCGAGCCCCGCACCGGGCTCCCTGCTCAGTGGGAAGCCTGCTTCTCCCTCTCCCTCTGCTGCTCCCCCTGCCTGTGCTCTCTCGCTCTCTCCGTCATATAAATAAAATATTTTTTAATTAAAAAATAAAACTCTTTGGGATCCCTGGGTGGCGCAGTGGTTTAGCGCCGGTCTTTGGCCCAGGGCGCGATCCTGGAGACCCGGGATCGAATCCCACGTCAGGCTCCCAGTGCATGGAGCCTGCTTCTCCCTCTGCCTGTGTCTCTGCCTCTCTCTCTCTCTCTGTGACTGTCATAAAAAAAATAAATAAAAATAAAACTCTTTAAATGACTCCTATCATATCCAGGATCATTTCTAAAACTAAGGCTAGAAGACCCTCTACTATATGACTCTTAAACTACTTCTTTCCTCTTTGCTCCAGCCATACAGATGGTCTTTCAGTTAACATATCACACCTCATGCCCTTCACACTTACTGGCTCCTCTATCTGAAAGCCCTACTCCCTGCCCCACTTAACATGGTTATCTCCACTCAGTCTAGTATAGGTTTAGGAAGCACTGATGTTTTTGAAAAATGGGTATTTTTCTCACATTGCACATATGGAAATTGAGGCTCAGAGAGGTTAGGGTATTTGTCCCAGGCCATACAACTAGGTAGGAGAGCATAATTTCTTAATTACAGAGCCATACCAACTTCATTGCGGGCAAGTTACTTAATTACTTAGTTTCCTCATCAAAAAAAAAAGAATAATATTACTACTTACCTCACAAAGGTGTTATAAGAATCAAATGAGTTAATATGAAGAGAACAGTATCTATTATAAAAGCACTATATAGTTCTGTGCTTTTAAGTTAGCAGTGGTGATGGTGATTATTCTTATTATTCCACATTATATTTTAAAACCCAAGAGCAAAATCAACCTTTTCCTTTTGACCCTTACAGCAGAATACCTGCCTTTTTGTTTTCTATGTCTTTCATACGTTCCTATGCCCTCTTCCAGGCTCCCACCTCCATTCTCCCTTCTGGCATGCTTCCATATTTTAGCCCAAGAACTTTATAAGACATTAGGAGGAGGCTTGAGCCCACAGTAGAAGTTTTAGTTAGGTCCTACCGATGACTGAGCCTGTACATAAAATGAGTAATGTATCACCCATTTCCCAAACTTCCATGTCCCTGATCCCGCAGCTCTCCCTCCCCAATATATGGTGTCACAGTCTCACTCCCCAACTGAGTCCTAATGAACTTGACAAAGAATTCCCTTTGGTCACTCACCAGTCACCATCAGCAAAGTTAATAGGATACAATTCATGTTGACGCCTGAATCCTGTGCTGAGGATAAGGGTGTAGTGGAAACTAACAGGCACAAAGCAGGCAGAGAACTTATGTCCTGCGTGGGGATTCTGGGCAGCAGAAGGTGCAGGGGGGAGAAATGAGGATAAGGATTCTACAAAAGTCTGTCTTCTAGAGGTGTCTCCTGCCACTCTTGATCCTCTGCGTGAAAGGGGTCTCACCAGTCATAGCCGCCCACCAGTCAGTAGGCATGGAGGTCTTCTCAGGCTAACTGAAGCCCGCCCTATGGGAAGATGAGGCCCAAGGATCTGAGCTTTATCTATCTCAGCTAGGGAAAAGAATTCCAAAGCAGGAGTCAAGTAAACCGTCTGTGGAGTTAAAATTCATCCCAAGCCTCCCCTAGCCTCTCAGTTCTTATCACCAGTCCCTTCCCCCACAATGTGTGACCAGTCCTCCCTCTACATGTCCCATTGACCCCTGTCCTTTCTGGGCTACTCAGATGAAGCAGAGCTGTGTCCCGCCCTTCTGTGTGACATGGCCCCCACCCCCTCCCTTTTATGCGGGTGGTGCCTAGCCCATCCCTCCTCAGAACTGCTTCACCTGTACAGGTCGTGTCTCCCAACCACAGACACCATCTGAAGAAAACCAAACAATACCAACATAAGTGGCTCTTGTCAGGGCTCTAAATCTGTTCTCACTACATACCCTCCTCTGCTCTCTTTCTTTTTCTCCCTTCTCTATAGCTGCCTTTTCCAAATTGATTTTTGGTGGCAGGATATAACAAGAATATTACCTAAATAGAAAAATCAGGGTTTCACTCATACGTGGAATATAAGAAATAGTGAAAGGGATTACAGGGGAAGGAGGGGAACTGAGTGGGAAAAATTAGAGAGGGAGACAAATCATGAGAGACTCCTAACTCTGGGAAACAAACAAAGGGTTGCAGAAGGGGAGGTGGGTGGGCCATGGGGTAACTGGGTGACAGGCACTAAGTAGGGCACTTGATGAGATGAGCACTGGGTGTTATACTATATGTTGGCAAATTGAATTTAAATTTTAAAAAAATTTTGGGGGGCGGATCCCTGGGTGGCTCAGCGGTTTGGCGCCTGCCTTTGGCCCAGGGCGCGATCCTGGAGTCCCGGGATCAAGTCCCGCATCAGGCTCCTGGCATGGAGCCTGCTTCTCCCTCCTCCCGTATCTCTGCCTCTTTCTATGTCTATCATAAATAAATCTTAAAAAATAAATAAAAATAAATAAAAAAATAAAAATAAAAATAAAATTTTTAAAAAAGAAAGTCAGATAGTAGAATGAAACAATAACTGAATTAGAGTCTCTATAAACCAGATAATTTGTGGAATGAGGCTAGGAACATATATGTCTCCACATGTACAAGGAATCCAGTAATAATACTAACAAAAAATTAATAACAAAAAAATCACAGACATATAAGGAAATGCTGAGTTTTGTACACACACACATCCATCCACAGAATTCTAAGGTTATTTTTTTCAAAGATAAGCTTTAAGAATGATGTCCATATCAGATATCAGTATCCTAAAACAAAAAAGGAAAAAGAGGCACCTGGGTGACTCAGTTGTTCAATGACCGACTCTTGATTTCAGTTCAGGTCATGATCTCGGGGTCATGGGATTGAGCCCCACAATGCACCCTGCGCTCAGCAGGATGTCTGCTTGAGGATTCTCCCTTTGCCCCTCCTCCTGCTCTCGCTTTCTCTCTCTCAAATAAGTAAACCTTTTAAGAAAAAAGGGAAAAATAAATGGGATTGGCAAACTACAGGAAGCACTCAAAAGTCAACATAATATAAAAAGGTTATTAGTACTGAAATAAGAAAATCCACCCTTTGAAGTACTTTGTTAGGCCTGGAGAAAGTATGTGGGGCAGGGTGGGTGGAAGAGGGGTGGAGGAGAGAAGCTGAGAAGAAAGGGTTATGGAACACAATGAGATGAGGACCAAGGGAGGCCTCTACAGCATGCTAAGGGTTTATTCTATAGGCAATAGGGAACCACTGAAGAGATTTTAAAAGGAGCATGTCATTATTTCACATGCATTTTAGAGGGGGGAAGAAACAATTCTAAATAAAGAGAATGTCAGGTTCAGCAACACCAGATGGGCACATATATTAGTTCAAGCACAAGATTATGGCCTGGATTAGGATGACAGCAGTGTGAATGGAAAGGTAAGGATGGATTTAAGAGACTGCTGGAAGTAGGATGGTTTGAGGTTGAGTGGTGAGAAAAAGAAATCAAACAAGTAGGAGGTACAGTTATCTCCTAAAATAAGGAAAAGAGGCAAAAGAATGCATTCAAAGGCTGGGGGAATAAAGGGTAAAATTCTGACATGCTATATTTCAGGAACCTAAAGCAGATGCAAGAAAAAAAAAATGGTTTCTAGGAGACAGCTGTATCTGTGGGGATAGGAGGTCTGGGCTGGAGATACTAATTTGAAGCTCACAGACCAGCCTCCTCCAGGAAATCTGCTGTCTTTGGAAAGGCCTCAAACTCCCCTCCTGGTCCATAAGCTTTCTAAAAAAAAAAAAAAAAAAAAAAAAATCTAGAACCAACAACCTCAGAGTAATGAAAATATCTTTCTCTCTCTCTCTCTCTCTCTCTCTCTGAAGTTTCACAGTTTCACTCCTGTTAACTAATCCCTCCCTCACCGCAGAAAACCTTCCACAGCTCCATCCTGTCTTTGAGCCTTAAGCACGATTCAGAAACCAGCCCTACTCCCCAGTGAACTTCTGTGTTCACTGTGAAGGTCAGGAAAGTATGTGCCATGTCTCTTTTTCATTTCACACTTCAGGGAGTTTCTGTGAGGAAATGTATGTTTTCAAGATCCAAGAAAGCCAGTTGATTAGCTGAAGCTCGGAGGAGGCGGTTGAAAATCTATGTGTATCAACGATAAGACCTAGATTCTACTTCTAGTCTTTGCAATTTTGTGTGATTTTGAGACACTGATATAAATTCTGTTTCAGTTCTGTTACCTGCAGATCAAGATAAAAAATGATACCAGCCCCGCTAACCTTTCAGGCTTGTTGTGCCACTGGATTGAGATTATGGGCTCAGAAGATTTTGAAGGACTAGAGTGATACAAAGTATAATTAGTTTTATATCCCAGACTGACCTCATACAAAATCACCAAGGACAGTATCTATAAAGAATTTAGCTCAGGGCCTGGGATTTGGTTAAGTACTATTAGTGAAAGTGTTCTTCTAAGAGTGTGCTCCGAATTATCCGGGGATGACCCTAGCAGTTTACTACTGACTAAGAAATTTTTCATTAGGTAAAAAGCACTGACAGGTCCCGTCTTCTGAATTGTCACCAACACCCAGTAGGTCCTAGGTAATACACCGTAGAGCCTCTATAATCTAGAATAGAGATCATTCTCCAACTGTCAAAATAACTAGGTTCCCTGAGGGCTTTTCATTTCCAGATGCCTTTTGCGAGAAGCTGGTGATCAGGACAACAGACCAAGTTGGTGATGATGGCTGAGTGATGAAACAAACAGTGATCACAGGGAAAGATGAAGGAAGTGTAATAAAGATGGGAGGGGCTAAGCAAAAGTATAAGTATTAGGGGGTTCAGAGTAAACCTGGGGAGGTTCAGAGTAAACCTGGGGATACCGCCTGAGCTAAGGTGGTGAATCTTGTCCCCCACAGCCCTGGCCTCAGAAACTCCATATGGAAGATAAGTCCTGAGCCTGGAGCTCACTTCCCCATAGACAGCTGATTTGGGTAGATGGGCTTTTAGGGAGAGCAAGTAGAGGGACCTGGATCTGCAAGTCCTGAGCCTGGAGCTCACTTCCCCATAGACAGCTGATTTGGGTAGATGGGCTTTTAGGGAGAGCAAGTAGAGGGACCTGGATCTGCAAGTCTAAGTCTATGAAACTAGGCTTTTCTTTCTTTTCCTTTTTTTTTTTTTTCCTTCCCTAAAAGATCCAAGAGAGGCACAGTGCATCTTCCCTGGAGGAAAAGGGCCTTCATCTGTCTACCTGGAGTCCTCTTCTGCCCCCGTTTATGCCCAGAGCTGCTTTCCAAACCCATTTCATATCCCCATGCCTAACCATATCCACTGGTTCTACCAGGTGTTCCTGACAAGAACACTGTCCTGAGAGTTCCATACTCTGATCTTCTGCATCTCCCAAGGAAAGATCTGGACTGCTATGAAATTTATCTTCTATTTGGGTGTCCTTGCTGGTATGTATCCATGACCACCTACTCTGTCCTATAAGGCACAGGTTAATAGTCTAGGCTGGAGTAAGGCAGACTGGGGTGTGTGGAGGGTACAAAAGAAGAGCCTAGGAAAAATGGTCATGGACAGAATTAGGTATCTCTGCTCCTTGGACCCACCCAAAGGTTCTCAGGAGGCTGAACCCACCCTTCCAGTGCTAAGCTACGGAGTGGGTGATGGTGCTCACTCACCTTGGAGAATACTCAGCAATGAGCAAGGTGAGTCATTATGTGTGTCTCATCACCCACAGGGCAAGTCCCAGTGTAGTAAGAGGGACAGAGGACTCATTTTGAAGTCTGATATTCCCCGTGTTTCAAAAACTAAGAGACTCAGAATGTAGGGAATGAAGAAGGTAGAAACAAGATGACATGGGAGTGCCCTACTTCCTGCACCCCCTGACTTCCAAGAACTCCTTCTGATGGCATAATTTGCTGGTGAGGCACTTCCCACCACTTTCTGACTGCCTGTGTTGCATCACTATTAGCTGTGTGAGCTTGGACTAGTAAATTAACCCATCTGTGCTTCAGTTTCTTTAGTTAAAATGGGGATATTACTACCTGTATTATAGAGATATTATAGAGATGTTGTGAAATGTTAAATAAATCCATGTAAACCACTTAGAACATGGGGATATTACTACCTGTATTATAGAGATGATGGGGATATTACTACCTGTATTATAGAGATGTTGTGAAATGTTAAATAAATCCATGTAAAGCACTTAGAACAAGCTTAATGCCTCTTGTCCTTATTAATATGCCACCTTTTTTTTCCCTTGGGATTTCTGTGTGAACATAAAAGGGTGTAGGGAGGTATAGGCCAAAGCTTGGGAAGGATTAATGAAACAACGAAGGACAGCCAAGATAAGAATAGTACTTTATTCCTGACACTACAAGCAGCCTTCCTCTTTTTCTTCTCAAGTGTTTTTCTTAATTCATTTTTTAAAATGAGAGACTCTTAACTCTAGGAAACAAACTAGAGGGTTGCTGGAGGGGAGGGGGGTAGAGGATGGGATAATTTGGTAAAACAGAGCTACCCTATGACTCAGCAATTGCACTACTGGCTATTTACCCCAAAGATACAGATGTAGTGAAATAAAGGGGCACCTGCACTGCAATGTTCATAGCAGCAATGTCCACAATAGCCAAACTGTGGGAGGATCTGAGATATCTTTCAACAAATGAATGGATAAAGATATGGATAAAGATATGGTGTGTGTGTGTGTGTATAATGAAATATTATAATGAAATATTACTCAGCCATCACAAAGGATGAATACCTACCATTTATGTCGATATGGATGGAACCGGAGAGTATTATACTAAGTGAAATAAGCCAATCAAAGAAAGACATCATCATAAGGTTTCATTCATATGCAGAATATAAGACATAGTGCAGGGGACCATAAGGGAAGGAAGAAAACTGAATGGAAAAAAAAAAAACAATCAGAGAGGGAGACAAAGCATCAGAGACTCTTAACTCTGGGAAACAAACTGAGGGTTGCTGGAGAGGAGGTGGGGGGGGATGGGGTAACTGGGTGATGGACATTAAAGAGGGCATGTGATGTGATGAGCACTGGGTATTATATGCAATTGATTTATTACTGAACTCTACATCTGAAACTAATGATGTACTATGTTGGCTAATTGAATTTAAATAAAAAATATATATTGCATGTTCATATTAAAAATTTGGAAATATTAAAAAAAAATAAATTGTTCATAATCCCACCTCTCAGTCAACACATGCTAACATTTCAAATTTGAGCACACATTCATAATCTTTGTCTATCTTGGAATATTTCTTTATTAGGATACAGGTGATGCACTGTTTACACTCTTGATTCCTATGTCTAATTGCTTTGCAAACAGAATCAATTCACATCCCTACATTCAATGAAAGAGGGTCTTTTTCATTGTGGTTTCTGAGATTTTAATGTTATCAACATTAAAGCAAAAATTATTATTATAAATATTAGATAAAATGGTATGTCATTTTTATTAGAAAAAGAAGGTCAAACATTTTCACATTTCTTGGCCAATTCTTTAAAATTGTTCATATTCAAAAAAATAAAATAAAATTGTTCATATTCCTTTTCAACTAGGAAACTGCTGATTGTCTTATTTGTCTTAAGACCTGTCTTATCTCTTAAGAATGTTCTATATATTAAGAATACTAATTATTTTCTCAGGGACAGTTTTCTCTGCTCACTCTGTGCAAAAAGAAGACCATGCTCCCTATCTGGCATACCTCAGGTCTCACTTCAACCCCTGCGTGGGTGTTCTCATCAAAGACAACTGGGTGCTAGCCCCAGCTCACTGCTACTTACCGTGAGTGCCAGGGACCCTCACGCCCACACCCTGAAGCCCCTGTGACTCATTCTACATCAATGGTTCTCAAATGATGGCAACCTTCCTTCCAGGGGACATGTGGCAAAGTCTGAAGATACTCTGGGTTTGTTACAATGCACCAAGGAGGGTGCTGTGCTCTTGGCATCTATCTAGCAACCAGAGGCCACACCAAGGCAGCCACTGAACACCCTACAGTGTGCAGGCCAGCCCCCACAGCAATCATCCAGCTCCAATGTCAGTAGTGCTTCTGGTGAGGAAACCTACCCCCCAGAGCATGCCTCCTCAGTCTCCCTGCAGCTTTTTCAAGTTCTTTACTGAAAATATGAATGTGTCTTAATATGCCATATCAGTTAAGGGACTGCAGGTAACTGAGGGTGCACGCAAATTAGACAAACTGAGGAGAAGAGTTCAGTGCCCCCAGGATTATTATTGGAAAAGTATAATTACTACCCCTATGCTTAAGGGGTACAAGAAGAGGAGCAGGGAAGTGGAGGAGAGCGGGGGAGAGAAAGAGAAGGTGGGGAGCACCACGTGGTGGGACTGCCTGATAGGAAGCACTGTGCAGCAACCCTGCAGGAAGGGAGCTGGGTGGATCAATATTCCAGCCTCATTTTTCTCCCTCCAATTACTACCAAGTGCTTGCTATCAACCAAAACATAATCAGAGACCAGCGAACAGGAGAATCCATTGACTTAATCCACATATATCACCCTCCAAAGATAGAGAGCAGGATGAAATCGGGTTGTGAGTGGATCTGATGAAGCAAACAGCTCTAATACTTAGGTCATCCATTCTCTTAGCTGCACCATAATGGAAATGCCCATTTGGATAGGCTGGAGCTAGAGTAGAGGGAAAATAGTATTTCTATGCCATGCATAATTTTCCTCTCTTCTACATTAAAGATACTACATGAAAACACAGTGGATAAAGACTCCACCACTTACTGTGTGGCCGTGGGTGAATTACTAGTATGTGCCTCCATTATTTCACCTGTAAAATGGATTAAAATTAGAATCCACTTCATAGTTTAGTTGTGGTCAGTCAATGAGGTAATCCAAAGAAAGCAACTGGCACAGTACTACCTGACACATTGTAACATTCAATATCATCTTTGACAACAGTGATGATGATGATGATGATGATGATGATGATGATTGTGATGGTGATAGTGACAGTGATTACTTCCAACCCCTTCTCCCCCAGAAACCTAAAAGTGATGCTGGGAAATTTCAGGATCAGAGTCAGAGATGGCACAGAACAGACAATTAACCCCATCCAGATTATCCGCTACTGGAACTTTAGCCATACCTCCCCACAGGATGACCTCATGCTCATTAAGCTGGCGAAACCTGCCAAACTCAACAATAAAGTCCAGCCTCTGCCCCTCGCCACCAACAATGTCCGTCCAGGCACCACCTGTCTACTCTCAGGTTTGGACTGGAGCCAGGACAACAACGGTGAGTGTACCTCCCACAGTAAATCAGAGTCATCAGTTAGCGCTGAGGAAGAGTACCAGGTCCACATAGCTGAGAAGAGAGGAGAGGAGAAGGGGCAGAGACCATGGGTGATCTAGCAAAAAGAGATCCATTCAGAAGTCCAAAGCTCCTCCCTCCCCAGGGTGCTGACATACCACTACCTCCTTGAGGTTTCAGGTGCTGGAGCCACCAGGCCATCTGACTCTGCACAGAGGCCACACCATCCCTGACAGTCAGAGGCAGAACTCCCAAGGAAGAGGCTGTGCTCCTCCCTTGCATATAGGCTTGTTTTGCATGGAGAGGACATCTCTGAGAATCTGAATCAGGTCACCTCTTATTCCTCCAAGACTGGACACAGAGTAGAAAGGAAACTCTGCTTCTTAAACAGATGTAAAGGCTATTTTTAAATCCTCTGGATTAACTCCTATAACCATGCATAAGATCATTCCTTTTTGTTTCAGACATACACACAAGACACCAGTGGAAAGAGACAGTAGTGGTTGGAGAGACTCCATAACAATGGCAAACAGGAAGGCTTCTTTTATTGTCTTCCCTCAGGTAGACATCCTGATTTAAGGCAGAACCTGGAGGCTCCTGTGATGTCTGATAAAGAGTGCCAGAAAACCGAACAAGGGAAAAGCCACAGGAACTCCTTATGTGTTAAATTTGTGAAAGTCTTCAGCCGAATTTTTGGGGTAATCTTTTCTCTATATTCAGTTTTCATTTGCTTGTATGTGTCTAGTTAACCAAGCACAACAAAAAAAAAAAATTAGAAAGCCCTCATCCTCTCACAATTTTTTGAGAATTTTATAAGGCTGCAGCAAAGCCCCCATTGTGCCTTCAGTAATGTGCCCTCCTTACAGATGTCTTTATTCATTAAAGCATGTCATGTAGCACCTCCACTTTGCTACATTTATTATTTATTCTTATAGCTGGAAGTCAAAATGGGCTTAGAAAAATTCAAACTTTTCACAGTGGAAACTGGCTTCACCAGTCGAAATAAAAAAGGTTTGACTCATTTTATATGTGAGTCCTAGAGAGGTTTTTCTCGGACTTTCTCAAGACAAAACAAAGCTAGTCACAGCAAAAGCTAGATAAATGACTTCAGCTTCCTGTCTCCTGATCTGGTGCTGTTTTCATGATCTATCATGCTACCTCTAGGCAGAGCTTATCCATATTGGGGACAAGAGGTCTCCTATGACAAGATCTGATCATCTCTCTCTCTCTCTTCCTCTCTCTGCACAATCTCTGGTAGGAGGTGGCCGTCGCTACCGTCATCTGCAAAAACAAGCTCCAGGGGATTGAGGTTGGACACTTCATGGGAGGAGATGTTGGGATCTACACTGATATTCACAAATATATACCCTGGATTGAGAGTATCACTAAAGATAAATGACATCCTACTACTCCCTCTGCATCCCACTGGCTTTGTCATTGACTCTACCAGCCACTACTTTTCCCAAACTCAAAATAAAATTTCCAAGTAGAAATGTATCACACCAGTAGCCTATGTTTTCTTGGTTGTGTCTCTGCCCATATTCCATCATTTTATGAAGGACCAAGAATGAAATATAAAATGAGGACTTATCACACTGTACTAGGGCTACATACATTATCTCCTTTAATGCCTTTGAGGTTATCTTCCAACCCCACCTTACAAATGAGAAAGTTGAGAATAAAAAGAGTACTTACTGAAAAACAGTGGAGAGGTTCCTCAAGAAGTTAAAAATAGAGCTACCCTATAACCCGGCAATTGCACTTCTGGGTATTTACCCCCAAGATACTGCTGTAGTGAAACACTGGGACACCTGCACCCCAATATTCATAGCAGCAATGTCCACAATAGCCAAACTGTGGAAGGAGCCACAATGTCCTTCGACAGATGAATGGATAGAGAAGATGTGGTCTATACATACAGTATGTTACTGAGCCATCAGAAAAGACAAATACCCACCACTTGCTTCAATGTGGATAGAACTGGAGGGCATTATGCTGAGTGAAATAAGCCAATATGGCTTCACTAATATGTGGAATATAAGATATAGTGAAAGGGATTATAAGGGAAAGGAGGAAAACTGAATGGGAAAAAAATCAGAGAGGTACTCCAAACTCTGAGAAACAAAGGGTTGCGAAAGGGGGGTTGGGTGGGAGGATGGGGTAGCTGGGTGATGGGCACTGAGGAGGGCACTTTATGGGATGAGCACTGGACTTATACTATATGTTGGCAAATTGAATTTAAATCTTTTTAAAAAGAGGGCAGCCCAGGTGGCTCAGGGGTTTGGTGCTGCCTTCATCCCAGGGCGTGATCCTGGAGACCCAGGATCAAGTCCCATGTCAGGCTCCGTGCATGGAGCCTGCTTCTCTCTCTGCCTGTGTCTCTGCCTCTCTCTCTGTCTTTGTGTGTCTCATGAATAAATAAATAAAATCTTTTCTAAAAAAAATTTTTTAGGGATCCCTGGGTGGCGCAGCAGTTTGGTGCCTGCCTTTGGTCCAGGGCGCGATCCTGGAGACCCGGGATCAAATCCCACATCGGGCTCCCGGTGCATGGAGCCTGCTTCTCCCTCTGCCTGTGTCTCTCCCTCTCTCTCTCTCTGTGACTATCATAAATAAACAAAAAAATTTAAAAAAAATAAAAAAAAATTTTTAAAGAGTACTTAACATTATCTAAAGCTGACAGACATCAGAGCATGGAATGGAACTGCCAAATGTCAGGTTCTTAATCCCATGCTCTTAGCCCCAAAATTACAGGAGAGTCCATGGTATCACAACAGATTTTGGCTTCTATCTTCCTGCTACTTCTCATATTCAAAGAGTTTGAAGCTTTCTCTTGTGGCTAAGATCATAGATACTGCAATAATCTCTCCTAAGAATGGCCATGCTTTCTCTCACTGCTGAGCTGACTGCAGCAAGCTACAGGGAAAGAGTTAACAGATGGGTAAGAAGTGAAAAACAGAACCTCAGGACAGGGTCAATCGCCATATCAAGTCCAACAGGAAGCCTGGCAGCTCCAGAACAAGGTGAACTCATTTAGATCCAAAGAGAGTATAATCTCAAGACAGTAGGAGATTCCAGAGGCAGATATGGCTGAGAGGAAATGAAGGAAGGGCCAGAAACTGGGTTTAGCGACAGATTACGGGATTAACAAAGTCAAGAAAGTCCTTTGGTTGAGAACTTAGTAAAGAACCTGAAAACTGAAAATTCCAGGTATTCCAAATCTGGAAATGATAGAGAAATTCTGGATATCCAAGACACGAGGGAATACAGGACAAAAATGAGTAATCTCCTAGCCAATGTAGACTGAAGAAAGAACCATACTCTATCCTTGGACAATATTTTCTATATCCTAAATTTATTTTTTTTAATTTTTTTTAAGATTTTTATTTTTTCCTCATGAGAGACACAGAGAGAGGCAGACACAGGCAGAGGGAGAAGCAGGCTCCATGAAGGGAGCCCAACTCAGGACTCCAGGATCACGCCCTGGGCCAAAGGCAGGTGCTAAATCACTGAGCCACCCAGGGATCCCCTCTATTTCCTAAATTTAAAATGCAATCTATACTTTAAAGACTTTTGTGTTAGGCAGAATAATGGCTCCCCAAAAATGTTCACACTCTAATCCCCAGAACACATAAATATGTTATTTTACATGAAAAAGGTAGCTTTGCAGCTGTGATAATGTTTATGCACATTGGGATAAGAGATTATCTTGGATTACATGGGTGAGACCTGTGTAATCACATGAGCCCTTTAAAGTAGACAAGGAAGACAATATTTGGCCAGAGAGATGTGACAACAGAAGAGGTAGTGGAGAATTATACACACGAGAAGGACCTGACCAGCCATTGAAGATTTTGAAGATGGAAGAAGGGGTTATAAGACAAGAAATGTGGGCAGTCTCTAGAAACTGAGAATGAACCTCAGCTTCCAGCTAGCAAAGAAATGGGAACTTTAGTGTTATAGTGGCAAGGAACTGAATTCTGACAACAACCAAAATGGGCATAGAAATGGATTCTCTCCAATAAGAAACACAACCTGGACAACCTTGATTTTAGCCCATTGAAACTGGGCTAATTTCTGACCTATGGTACTATAACATAATAAATTTGTATTGATGTAAGATATTTGTGGTAATTTGTTACAGCAACCATAGAAAACTAATACAACTTTCAAAACACATTCTCTAAAAAGACCACTTTCTATCATGGGATATAAAAACCTTCAATGGTTGGTAATTTCCCTGAAAATAAACTCTAAACTCATCCAAATGGCATCCAAACCTTCTTGAGATCTCCTACCAACACTACCCTACTCCCAAAATATTTCTAAATACATCTTCTGCCACTTGACCCTGTGAAATGCAAATAAGAGTAAAAGGAATGTCAGAAGAAAATGTAAAAAAAGGCCCAATGCCCTCTGTCTTTTAAGTTGGCAACCTGGTCAAGACTTAAACTTCACAAAGTCAGATCCATTAAGAAAAATTCCTCAAGGGGTTCCTGAGTGGCTCAGCTGGGAGGGTGTCTGACTCTTGATTTCAGCTTGGGTAATGATCTCAGAGTCCTGGGATCAAGCCCCGAGTCAAGCCCTGTACTGGACTCTGCATTGGGCATGGAGCATGCTTGAGATTCTTTCTCTCCATCTCCCATACCTCTCCCTATCCCTGCTTGCTTGTACTCTCTCTCTCTCTCTCTCTCTCTCTAAAAGAAAAAATTTTTTTAAAAATTCCTCAAGCTGAAGGCAAGTCTTCAAGTGTTACAAAGGCAACAGTATCCCAGGCAAAGTCTTTCCTCTTTGACCACTGCCTATGACTTAGACAAAGACAAGGCATATCAATCACTGTTCAATCAACTCCTCAATGTAGGTTTTTTCTACCAATTTTTTTCAACCCCATTAATTAGAATGAGTTTCCCAGGCACAGTTACCAGCAACATGGGTTCTGAGGATGAATTATCAAGACTGTGAACCATCAAGATTTCCCTGAGTGCCAAGTTAGCTGCAGCTCACAGATCCCTTTCTCTTTGCTCCTCCCTCCACTCCTGGTTCCTACATCCAAGGCTGTACTGTGTTCGCTCCTTGAAGGAGGTACAGGTGATCTTCACTCATGTTATTTCACTGATCTCAATCCCCTACATCCCCAAAAGGGTTTTATTTTTTTATCTTTTTTTAAATTTTTTTTTTCCAAAAGGGTTTTAGATTCCATTCTGCCTTGGACAGAGAGGCAAATTTACTCCAAAATAAGAATACAGTTTTAAAAAGGGCCCAGTGAAGTTCACCTAGTTCTTGTTCTTTTGTTTGTTTAAATCTCCTCTTTGCATTATGGAGATTGTCAGAGTCAAACCCTCATCTGGAACCTAGAAATACATTGAATCTTGGGAGTATCATAACAAAATCTGCCTTGTTTGTTTGAATGAACTTAATAAAAATAGTGAAGGAAGATAAGCCACTATAGTTTGAACACCTACTATATATCAAGCACCATGTTAGACATTTTGACATGCATTATTTCCATATAACTCTTCAAAGTTATATTCCCCCACTTACTTGAGGTTTCTGAAAAAAGATATCTAGTACTTTGTCCAAGCCCACACTGCTAATAAACAGCAGATAAAGGATACAAACCTTGTCCCAGTGACTCCAAAACCTGTGCCATTACCTTTATATTTTTCCATAACTACATTTCTAAATACACAGATGTTTCCTAGATACTGAAACTTGCTTCTTTCCTCACATACAGCAAAAAGCCACTATTTAGATAACATAGGAAGTTTTATGGCTTTTCATATGATCCTTGATTTTAGCTCCTAGTGAAAAATTATTTGAGGCCTGTATATAGTGAGTCTTCACAATTCCTATTTAAATTTAAGACTTCTCTGGAAACCACTTCATAATATTCTAGTTCTACATTCCAGAAAATGATAGATTTAAGTCCAATATAAGCATAACTAGAATAACTTCACCATGATAGAAATAGGTGATTGACAATATAATTTCAACTTGTGTGTTTTGGTAAATAGCTTTGAATGAGGATACAAAGCCAAAACAACATTTTAAAACCAAATAGTTGGGGCACCTGGCTGGATTAGTCAGTTAAGTCTCCAACTCTTGATTTCAGCTCCGGTCATAATCTCAAGGGGTGAGATTGAGTCCCATGTTGGGTCCCACACTCAGTGAAGAGTCTGCTTGAGATTCTCACCCTCTCCCTCTCATTCTGTGCCTCCCTCCACTCGCACATGAGCTCGCATTCTGTCTCTCTCCCATTTTCTCTCTCTCCCTCCCTCTCTAAAATACATAAATATATCTTTAAAAAATATAAAAAAAAATAAAACCAAATAGTCCTATTTTGGATTAAAAAATCCATTCTCCTTTTACAAAGATTTTCATGTTTCTTAATGAACCAATAAC